TTTTCAGACTCTGCTTTTGGAACGATGGTAGAAATGATACACATGTCCTCAATTATCACTTTTGCTGGCAATTTTCCATAAGGCATGCTCAAATATATACAGGCAGAAGCTGCTGGACTCGACATCTGAGCAAACCTCTAATATCAACTCTGACTAGACCCACCTCGACTGCCAATTCTTTAAAAATACTTGAAACTAAAGGACACATGCACACATGCACACACCACAGGCCTGAAAAATGGCTTCTTCCCCAGAGCTGTCAAACCGTTAACAAGGGACCCTGTCTACACTACAACACACACATATACAGAAATACACACATCCTGCCTCCTCCAGTGACTTAACTTTCTATCATGCAATATTCTCATTTGCATATTGCACCAACTCAACTGTGTATTGAAGTCTTTACTGACTGAAGTTGTGCAGTATGCTCCTGTGCTAGACATTGTATTTTTGCACACCTAACTGCACTCTTATCTCCACACCAAATTGCACTCTTTAATGCAGGGGTAGGCAGTTAATTTTCCCACAGGGCCACACAAGAAACTGGGACTGCCTGTGGTGGGCCGCACTGCAGAATTGAGTTCAGTTAAGTTGGGGCTTCCACAACACGTAGCCATGTGGGGAAATTAAATATCCACTCCTGCTTTAATGCAACTCAATAATACCTGTGACTTTTTTGGATTGTTTTTTATGAATTTTTGAAACTTTGACAGTGCCGTCCTAATAATGTGGTACAGTCTTCCCCATCAGTGCAGTGTTAACATTTAGTTAAGTTCCTTATGCATTATTTCTGTGAAGGTTCTCAGTCATCCAGGTCATCTTAATCTAAGGAGCTTGGAAAGAAAAGTGTCTGGACTTCTTTAAGTTTCTTGAAGACATTTCACCTCTTGTCTGAGAAGCTTCTTCAGTTCTTAGAGAACACCATTGCACAGTCATTGTTCTTAAGACCAAAGACTAAAACACAGTGTTCGTTAAATGCCTGTGGAATTTAACTGTAGTTAACCAGAATATAATATTGCCATCATAGATACTGTATGTATACATTCATCAAATCCTTATCAGGGAGCTGTGTATATATACAGTATCACTAAAAAATATCCTGCCTGTATAATAATATACTGAATTAAGATTTACCAAGGATAATTATATGCTTAGACAGAGATTCACTGTTAAAATTTAGGTAAATAAAATAAATTGAGGTAAACACTTTGCACCAAATTCCTGTTTGACATTGACATCTTCTCTTATCTTTCTTTCAGTCTATGTCAACAAATCATAGCCCCAACTCATCCTCCACTATGCACTCTGATAGTAACCCATGCAAAGGTCATGGGTAGTCACAGAGGTATGGACTCGAGTCACATGACTTGGACTCGAGTCAGAGTTGAGTCATTAATTTTATGACTTTAGACTTGACTTGAAAAAATGTTCTAAGACTTGTGACTTGACTTGGACTTTTACACCAATGACCTGGGACTTGAATCGGACTTGAACCGGTTTACTTGAAAAGACTTGATATTTCACCCCAAATATAAAATTTAACATGCATATTATATAGAAAGTGTGCACCATTAATTCAATTCATTGATTCATTTATTCAAACCACACTCCGTACGTATGTGTGCGTGAGCTGTAGCACAGCCAATCAAATTAACCAGATTTAAAAAAAAACTTAAAAAAAAACGCTCAAAAATGCTGCAAGGAGTTATTTTTTTCAGGTACATAAACTATGAAGTAGTCAACAAAAAACCGAAATGCAATATGCAAAACATGCAAGAAGAGAATCACAGATAGAGATGGAACAACTTCCAACTTTCTCCGACAGTTGAAGTTGCATAAAGAACGGTAGGTGGTGCTTCTCTCTTGCTACGATGAGATCATGACTTCATCTAACAAGCAAATCTTGTCCAGGCTACGTTGGTGATACAGTTTTTTTTAATGTGTATGATATTTTTGTCATGCGATTTTAAAGCCGGCCCTACAAGCGCATCCAAGAATAACATGCAGCTTATCTCAGAACTGTCGGTGAAAATTATTCTTGGAGCTAAGTTTAATTGAGCTGCATTTTATAGAGGTGCAATTTCACAATTTGTGTAAATTTTCTAAGTTCACTATTTCGTCATGTGTTGAGAAAAACAGATTTTAAAATTACATGGTCTAATATTTACATTTAGCATATAACAGCAACATTCTTTTTCGTTTTTTTGTTTTTTTTTAAAGACTCGAAAAGACTTGAAATTCAAAGTTTCAGACTTGTGACTTTACTCTGATTTTTACACCAGTGACTTGACTCTCGACTCTGACTTGCCTGACATTACTTGAGACTTGACTTGTGACTTGCAAAACAATGACTTGGTCCCACCTCTGGGTAGTCATGTAGTCATTCTGATATAATTCTGAACTGAGGATAAAGAAGAAAAAAATAGATACTAGAAACTTTTCTGAAGCTTTAAGAAATTCTTGCAAGTTTCCAATAAACTGGAAAAGTGTTTTGTATTAAACTGTAAGAATTCTTGAATCATTTTGAATTTGTGCCCACTGACTACTGGGGATGGAAGGAGCCTTTAGAAGCTCTCTAAGCCTTCCAGGATGTATTAAATTCAGTACTGAACACATTCAAAAACTCGCAACATAACTCATAATTATTGCCATCACCGCCACGCTAGAATTCCATTTAAAGGTGTGAACATCATGTAAAGTTACGAGAATAAATTCATCCCTTAAAGTGGGGTGCAGAACTTTAGCATATAAATGAACCTCCTTTATTCAAGCTCTTGCCAAACAAGTTCACACAGTACTGATTAAGCCAATCAACCTCAGGTAAATCACTTTGTGTTTTACATTATACCGGATTCTGTTGTCTCGGGCTATATTCCCACGCTGGTGCACCAGTACTGATGCATTTTAAATTAATCAGCAATGATTGCGACAGAGAGTTAGCAGACTACAAATGTTGCTGAGGAGCTAGTAGTGCGCCAACTTGGGAGCAAAGACTAGGTCTGAAATATCAGGGAAACCTTGACAGTGTTTATGTGATTGCTGTCACTGCCAGTAGGGGGAGACAGAAATTACAGCAGTCAAAATTAACTTTGTCTTTCAAAATCTAAAAACTGGTGTCATGATACTGTCAGCTGTGTCATTGAGAGCTGGTATATAAATGACTTTGACAGGTTAACAGTAAGGTAGAAATCAGCATGTAGAAAACACGTCTTGATCTTAAAGATCCTATTATTAACCAGGCTTAGTTTGACATGTGAAGATGTTTGCGTTGAGGCCTGCTGGCAGAATCTTCCTCTGACATTTTCATTTTCCCCTTCCATGTCTGTCTTGTCTCTCCCCTGTCTGTTTTTGTTTCTTATAGAAACCCAATGTTTCTTTCACTCTTCTCTATACTCCTGTTTGTTTCCCTTCTCACTTATTTTTTTCCCCATTACATGTCCTATACCCTCTTCCCTTCCCTTTCATTGTCACAGGCTTTTCTGACACTTCCTCCTAGCTCTATTTTCTTTGATGGCCATGGGGATACTTTATGCAGCCCTCCTGTCTATCATCAAGGTTGAAATATGATATTGCTCCTCTGGTCAGATTCAGAAGCACTTTAATATCATTTTAATTTCAGTCGATAGCAATTACTCCACAAGTCTGTGGGGCACTCTTTGGAATGTCATCTTAAATACTTTTAAGAGATACGCCATATGCCACTCAGGGTAAGTTTTAGCATGATGGAGAGTATGATGACTTTAATCCAGAAACAAATGTCTTTACAATTTCTTGGCATTACAAGGCTGCTGGCATTCGGCAAATGAGCCTAAACCAAGCTTACCTATTGGGATAGTCTACAAAGTCTGCCCTTGATATGAATCGTACATGTACATATCAATTTTCCAATTACTGGCCGTCTCATAAAGGCTTTGATCAATTGCAGTAGCTCTGCTAATGTGTCAAAAGGACATGGATCAAACTAACAAGCAGCTCGTGCTCATGTCTGCACCCCCCCCACCCCCTCTTTATCTTCTTTCAAATTTTTATACATCAGCTTCCTTGTTCCTTGACCAATCATGTGATGCAGCATACAGGAATGTTCCAAGGCTGGCAGTTCTGACAGCCCAGTGTGGAGCACTGAGCCATCAAAGGTTTCAGCTGGCACAGCTGAGTGTCACATATTAGTCTTAAATGATGTGAAAACTGTGAAAGCCCTGCCATCATTAGAATTCTTTAGGGAGGAGAGACGGATAGAGGGATAGAGGGGAGGGTGGTGAATAATAGCGAAAAGTGAGAGGGCTCAGAGGAGGGGAATGAAGTGAGAGATGGAGAGATATGAGAAAGAGTTGTGGGGGAAAGGGACACGGAGTGAAAGAGAGCGAGCCACTGTTATGGTAGACAGCATTAACATTCAGCTGATGTGCCATGCACCCCACATTGGATTTTTCTTTTTTTTTAACAGCGTTCTAAACTCTGTTTATGACCACTTTTTCTGTTTCTTTGTTTTTTTGACATATGAGTGGGGTTCAGAGGGAGCAGTGATGAATTTATGACTATCAGAGAAAGCGCAGGAGATATTTAGGATATTACACCCTCATCGTGACGAAATTAGTACCCATCGAATTTGTAAATTATTCTGCTCGGTGCCACTCAACTAAATGTTTCATGATTCTTGCCCTCATAAACACAACACAGCCGACCTTTTAATCTGGCGATTCCTGTCATCGGCAGTCCCACAGTTGTGCTGAAATAAGCTCTGCATAGTGGATTTGACAATTTGTGAATGTGTGAAAACAATAATGAGTTTAAAGGGCCTGCACAGCTCCACTTGCTACTTCTATCAGTCCTTCTCTGGTTTGTATTTATCTGAGAAGACAGGTACAGATGTTTTATGCCTGCAGTCACATTTCCCTCATGCTGAACTTTGAGAAACAGGTCTAAAATAACCCAGAGACCATGTGTCTGTTCTCCTCTTACCCCTCCCCGACCGTTTTTTTCTCTTTGGTGACTGACAGCGGAGGACACATGCGGTGGCACCCTGAGGGGCTCCAGCGGGCTCATCTCCAGCTTCGATTTCCCCAGTGGTGAGTCCCCCAGTGCTGGCGGAAGCGGAGGTGCTGGGGGCCTGGGCAGCAGCGGGGAGTGCAAGTGGACCATCCTGGCAGATCCGGGAGACACTATTTCTCTAGTGTTTACTGAATTTCAAATGGAGGAGAAGTCAGATTATCTGGAAATCGAGGGATCTGAACTGCCGACCATCTGGTGAGTTGACCTGCGTGGAGGAATGAGGGTGGGAAGTGTTGGTATTTCATCAAATGACCATTTCGTTTTTTTATATTAAGAGTCGTACCATGACAGGTGGTGTGTACAGTATGTTTGGTGTTGACAAAGTGTTAAAAGAAAAGTGTCTGTGATTATTGTGAGACAAGATTGTGTTAGTAGCATTGGATGTTGGGTTTCCACAAGTTTTAAGGTGTGTAATATATTTTCTAGAGCACATTATCTTTCTGCAAAGAAGAAACAGGCTTTAGTATTAGAGTAAAACTGTAAAATCATGGCACATACTTTTATCATTATTCATTTCGGCTGCTAGTACAAAGTCAGGTTTTATTGACATGAAACTTAACCAAGTAATAAAACCTTTTTTATTTCTGTAGAATAATATCACATTTAGTCTTTTAGTAGACTTTACAGGTCCACAGCTGCAGTTACAAACCCAGGCATATTGTCTAAGGGAAAAACTCCCCAAAAATGGGCAAAGAAATACTGAGAGGTCCAGTAAATGTTTAGGTTTTGAAGGGGCAATTATAAAAATGAACAGAAAAGTAGTGCACCTGCATTTTAAACTAAAACAACTCAGTGTGCTGGTCATTTTTCCCAGTCGGAATTTTACTTTTTAAAGTTTTTTGTTAAACCAGAAACAGGCAAGAGTACAGTCAACAGTAGCTGTGTATAATAGTTACACACACACACACACAAACCAAAAATACACAAATTAAGTAGGCTGTAGCAGTGTATGACATACAACCAAAACTACATCACCAGTAAAGCCTAAAGCATCAATAAAAGTCATTGTCTAATGGGAAACACAGGGGTAATAATACTCAAGCAAAACATTTGCAGCCTGAAAAAATAATGACATCCAAGTCATTTAAATTCATTTAGTGACACCAGCTCCTTAAGTTTCAGTTGAATTTGCAGCAAGGAAGGAATTTGAATACCCTTTTTCTGAATTCAGCGCAAGTGCGTGTCAGTAAGTAAAATGGGAGCAGACCAAGAATAGTTTTAAATCGAAGGATATACCAGTGGTAAGTGTTCCCTTTAACTTATAAGCTCATACGCTTGTGTAAGCAGTGGCTGCTAAAATTCATCCACTGGCCTTAGCCCACACAAGCATTTTAAATACAAAATGGTTGTGCTGTGCTGTCGTACCGTGTGTGTGTGTGTGTGTGTGTGTGTGTGTGTGTGTGTGTGTGTGTGTGTGTGTGTGTGTGTGTGTATCTTGTCTGAGGACCAGACGAGCCACATCACATAGCTCTGACAGTGACATGCAGAGGTGGGAGTGTGATGATATGGGGCTGCACAAGTATAAAAGGTGTTGGGGAGATGGCATTGATAGATGGTGCCATGAATGCTTGTGGATATAGCAAAATACTAGCTGACATGATGACTCCCAGTCTCCAGAAGACTGGCAGAAAAGGAATATTCCAGCATGATAATGATCCAAGCACACTGCCAACATCATACTAAAGCTCTCTTTTTTAATATATTTTTGGGGGCTTTTAGCCTTTATTGAAATAGGATAGCAGAGCCAAGACAGGAGAGCTGAGAGAGAGACCAGGGGAAGGCACACATTAAATGCCCTTGGGGGAGATTCAAACCCAGCCTCTGCATTACCCTTATGGATTGCCTGCTCAATCCAGTGAGCTAAACTGGCTTTGTGCTAAAGGTTGTAAAGAATTAAAAAAGCAAATCTGTGACCTGGCCTAGTATGTTGCCCTACTTAAACATCTAATGGGGTAACTCACAGAGAATGATAGAACAACACAACCTGACCCAGGAAATCTGTCCCACCATAAATAAAGGCGGCCATATACCGAAAAAAAGAAAGATTTGAATGTCTGTAATGAACTTTTGCACTATTTTGCAGCCTCTGTTTTTCATATAGGTGATCTAAAATGTAAGCTTTAGTTTATACATACACTTGGCACGACAATGGCATTTAATACAGTAATCAGATCACTTTAAAAAAAATTCCAGCTAAGCAATTTTGTGCAATACAATAACTGGACAAAGTTTTATTATAAACAAGACAAAAATGATATGGGAACTGAGAATAAATAAGTTTAGACTGTAGCTGTAAAGACTGCAAGAGATTTGCAACCCAAAGTTTATTCCAAAGAGAGGTTGATGCATAGTAAGATGAAGCTGTATCGCCTCAAGATATTTTCTTAGTTCTTCTGATAACAACTGGGCTGCCTATTGACATCTTACAGCACGCAAAGGAACAAAGGTTTGTTATTTAGGATGCAGAGATTGTGAAATCCTGGGGAGATATAAGCTTGAAAATATCAATTTAGCCAATTGGCCATTTTCTGCTTATTGCTTATTCATTTTTGTTGCCATTCATCCCTCCCTTCTCTGCCAGCAACCAAAGAAATCTGTAAAAATAAATAAATAAGTGAACCATTTTACTGCTAACGAGTTAACAAGTTTAATACAGATCTAAGAAATTAGATCCCACATGTAAAAACAAAAACAAAACACTGGCCTCTGCCATCGGGGATTGTGATATTATTTATGGATAAGCTGATGGCAGTCAAGAAGGTGATATTGGTCAATACAGATGTTCTGTTGAAACATCTGTGCAGCCTTGTTTATGTGCATAGTTTTGCATTTTATAGAATGTTGCTTTAAAAACAGCCGCATGTTGGAAACAGAAGTGATAAATATGCCTTTAATGAATTTTCATAGACAGTTGTTGGGAAAATAAACGACTTTAAATATGCCTCGTGGATCTGGAACGCTAAATAAATTCACAAATTTGCTGTTGCTGTAATTCAAATTGCACACGAATGAAAAATCTTTGACAGAGGTTTGTTTAGACAGGATTTTTTCTGGTTTTCTGTAGATGTTTGACGTAGAAATCACTCTAATCTGAAACAAGGAAGTATGAAAATGTTTTAACCCCTAACCTCAAGGCTAAGGTTATTCATCTCCTTTTTGTCCTGTGCTTTATTTGATCCTGCCAGGCGTTAATTATAATTATCTCAAAGAAAATCGAATCAATCATCAAGCTAGCGAGCTTTGTTGTCCCTTAGAGTTGTCATTCTGAGTCAGAGAGAGCGAGAGAGGCAAACACTGTGTCAGTGAGAGACCGAGTCAAAAAGAGAGGTGCTCTGGGTGTGGTGATGACTGCTAAGTATTGTATGTTGACGCACTAAGAAGAGCGTGGCAGGAAGCTGATACGGGATGACACTGATGTGTTTTGACAGGCCATCACGTAACCCTCTTCTCATAGGTGTAAAAGCTCCAATTTTAACCCTTTCACTGACAGAGATATGTTTCCTTTTTAAAGGTTTCGAGCCCCACTGGAAATGCTTTGTGGGGTTTTTTTTTTGTGGCTTCTACTTTCCAGCTGAATACTAGATGATGACCAAAGTGAACATACTTACCTTTTTTAAAAACTTTTTTAAGCTAAAGAAATAAAAACACTTAATAAATACAAATTTTTTAAACTTTCTTGTAGATTAACATTTAAAAGATCGATTTTTATTCATCTTTATCAATTTCCAATAAATTCTTAACTTGAAGATGCTAAGGTATGTATGTTCTGGGTTATTATTGGGGTTTAGTATGCTGATGGATAAATGATTAAACTTCATAATAGCTCTATCGATGATGATCTACAGGGCAAAGATGGAAAAGTCACCGCTATCATTAAGGGGGCAAATTTTGCTTGCTGACAGGCCAGGTTGCACCCAGCATGTGTGGATGCACTGCGCAGAGGTTTGTTGGATGAGGATTTGCATTATTTGCCGTGTATGCATCAGACACTGTTCAGTAAACAATATTTTTCAGACACAGTTTTGAGAACTATTGCAGACAGTAAAGCTCAGTCAAGAAACATTAGACATTTTGGAAAGTCTATTTTTTCCTGATTGCATCATGGTCGTCTTGTGCACTGCCGGGATTCTCTGTCTGCTCCTTTGGCTGGCTTTCCTGTGCTGTGTCACACATTTCTATACCCAGTATGAGTGAAGCAAGGCTCGTAAAACAACAGACTTCAGAATACAAGCGTTTAACAGAGGCCGTAATTACAAAGCTAACAGATGTTAATTATCAGAGTTTAATGCAGGTTCTGCTATATAATGCTATTAAAATGTATTTTGTAATAGTGTAAATCTGACATGTCTTTTATAACCCATGTTTCAAATAAATAATTTAAATTCATGCAATAAACATTTTTTGTTTTTTTTAATAAATCAAGTACATTTTCCAACAAAAATAGGGGCTTTCTTACATTTTTGTACATTATAACATCTTTGGCTTAAATGAAATTAAAGATGACATTTTGGTGGTGTTGCAAAAACATTTTTTATAACTAAAAATATGCAATAAACTATATCTACATGTCAGATAAAATCTCTCATGAACATATCTCCTTTTGGAGACTCCTCTATTAAATACTGGGCGGACTGAGACATTAATTTAAGGGTATAAATTGTTATGTTATATTTTTCTATAAGGTAAAATCATTTACAAAGCAGTAATTGAATTTGTAGCGGTTTCTCTCCTGTGTATGGTGACCATGCATCACACTCCAAGATGATGTTATTATACGTTACAAATGTCAGAGGCTGTCAGACAGAGTTCTTGTTTTAAGCCCAACAATCCAAGTGGGACCCAGTGAGCTTGAGTGCAGCGGGGGCAAGAATTTTAGAGAGATGGCTTCAACTTCGCCAGGTAAACAAACAGACAAGCAAACAAACACGATTCAGTGCGAGCGATTCTCTCGTGACTATAAAATTCATTGCTTTTGCTCGCTCTCTTTTATGAGTGTCTTTTGAATGTGTGCAAGGCCATTGGACAGGCAAACTCTCAAACATCCTAACATATAGCACCAGCTGCAGGCAGAGACAAGTAAACTGTCAATTTACCCTTGAGGTTTACAGCTGCTTAGCAATGATTTAGAGCCTGAAACCTCAAACTCTGCAAGATTTAAGATTGACTGTTAGCCTTTTTATCAGGCAGAAAGACTTGAAATGGCATCCAACTTCTTATCCTCCCTTGAACCTGTAGCATTACATATTAATATTAGGTTATTATATCCGAATTTAGCATGAATATAAATGTGATCACCGAAAAGTAGTGTCAAATTTAGAAACCTTAATCCTGGATAAGTCCTGCATTATACCCAAGACAGTGCAGGTCAGAGAAACATAATTCACATTCAAATCAATTCATATTTTCCACATCTCTGTAATTCCACATGTATAAACTGAAAAAACAAAAAAACCTCTCAGTTACCCATTGTTGTCAACCACCTTCCTGTAAGTGAATGTAGACGTTATTATAGACTTACAGGATGGTTGGAAATCCACAATTTCCAGACCCAAGGAATGACATGTGTTTTCCTGACACCTCTTACCAGCTTTTATCCGTTTATCAATTGAAGATTTCTATCAGATTTCTGCAAATGAGTTTATTGATTCCATCAAGCTGGGGAAGTTTGAGGATACACATCAATCACCATGAAAATAGACAAACGGAAAAAATAAATAAATAATCTGACAAAAACCAACAGTGGAGTCTGGCAAAGCCAAAGAAAGCAGTTCTTTGTTATTCTTCTGACCTTTAATGTGATTGTTCAGCCCTGTTCACAAAGGGCAAAAACAACAAGCTGTAGATTACACGTCAGTCATTATTCCAAATGTAGACACAGAGCATAAAACCTCCAAGGCTTTGCAAATATTAGATACAGTTTTTGCTTATAGAGCATACTCTTAAATTACTTTTTTTAACTTCTACTTTTTTCACAGTTTGAGTCCTGTTACAGTCTTTGATCAGTCGGGTAGATTTTTTTTTTCTTCCTTCTTGGTTCACCGAATATAGTCTTGCATAGCGGCTAAATGCTTTTCAGAGAAAGATACCAGGTTAAGCAATTAATGTGAGTAGTTGCCGGTTATACACCAATCCTGTTATGAGAAACCAGTGTGGTGCGGGCCAACAGGCGCCAATCTGCTTGAGTTTATTTCCTGAGCTGTAACTGATGAGGGAGCAGCGGAAGTGATGGAGAGCAACGGCTTCTCCCTTATCACATAAAACATTCCTAGAACTACTCCCTGTTGTCAGATTTTATAAAACATATGTGGGAGGAAAAGATAAAAATCACCCAGGAGTTCCTTTTTTCATAAGTTTGATCACTTATTATCTGTGGTACACCAACATCTAACCCTCATCTCTGTGAAAGAAAGTGAAGACCCCAGAGGTTTCAGCTCATTGCCATGGCCTCTGGGCCACGTTTGGCCAAAGTACCACCACGCTGAGACCTGTTAAGTTAGTATTTTGTTAAAACTGCCATGTTCCCTTCAGCACTGTCTTATCAAATCATGCACATTTCAGTCATTTAGTCATGAGTGCCTTGCAAACCTATGAAACAATAGGTCTTGGCCCCAAATCAGCAATACAAAGTATGTAAATTTTGGATAAAATCAATCGCATAAAATGAGCAGCCTGAGTGAGTCAGAGATAGAAAGGCAGTGCATTATGTGAGGAATCCATTTTTATCCCCGTTGGATTTTCTCATCTTTTTCACTTTGCCTGTATTTGAGGAGGTAGAATGAGAAAACAGTACAGCACTCACTTGTTCTCGTCTGTCTTAAGGAGACTGGGCATCCGAGTTATTTATTTGTTTCAATGACAGTTACATTAATGAATACCTGTGACATGCATCAATGTTTTGCAAAGTACCACTGAATTATTTGGCACAAGCATCTGGCTGCTCTTAAAAAATGTATCGCTAACTGGACAAACAAGGACAAGTGCAATAAAAAAAAATATGGAAGAAATAATAGAATGCAGATAATATACTCATCAGTAGTTGCACACATATACATATGTTAGTTGGATACAATGTTCAATATTTCTGCAAAAAAAACTAAAAAAAACTAAAACCAAAAACTCACATATAGGTACATAAGAAATTTAAGATGCTGCGAGGCTTTTCTTCTCTAGCAGCCTTCAGCCTGTGAGCACGTTTGTGTTTATTTGGGTGTCTGTCCTCACTGGGAACAGCAGCTGGAGCGTGTGGTGAGGGAGTGTGCAAACCAAGCATCGCAGGAACCACATCACAATACATGTAATGTATTTTCACAATGTACCTGCATTTCTTTTTATAGCAGGGAGTTATTGCATAACTTTAATAGAATGGCTTACTGACTTTGATGCACATTCTTGCAAAAACTGTACTCACTGGAGCAAGATATCTGCAAGGTGCCATTAAGCCCTGATTTACTGTTGATGGCGGATCATGTTTTCCTCTGTCTGCCAACTCTCCCTTTGTGACAACAGTATATTTGTTTCCACGGGCTTTAAATTTGTAACCCCACCGCTACTTCTGGGTGGGTATAATTTTGTTATATCGATCTATTTTGTTTACACACTTTGAGCAGATTTTTTTTTTTTTAAATAATTCGCAGTTTCACTACAAGAAACATGGCAGCAAAATCTTCTCCTACAGCTGTTTGAAAGTTGCTCTTTTTCATTCTGCCTGTATATTAGTGCCATTAGCATTTTATCAATGACTCATTGCGATAAAAGGTCAGCTTTTGTGTGAAAATCAATCACCCTTTAACTTCCCTCTTGAAGCTGCCATCATCTCCCCGTGTGATTGATAATTTGGGTTAAAGAGGTCAGTATTCAAAAAATTCATCTAGTTTGTGCATCAACAAAAAGTAAAACCAAAGAACAACAAAAGCATTCAGCAGCCTGTAATCTGCCTGACACATGTTTCAGTCTGAGGTAAGGCAGGTCACGTTTAAACAGCAGGGACCAGAGGTGTAATCAAAGTAAGGAGAAATCAAATGCCAAGTAGACTTACTAATGCATTTATTAAATCTGCAATGGTCACCAATTAGTCACCTTTTTCCTTTCACTTTTCTACATCACTGTGTTCCTGCCTCTTTTTCCAACTGTCACTTTCATTTATTTTTCATTTTACTTATTATTAATGCCCCTTAGGTTGCTCGGTAGTAAATGCCAAAGAAATTACGTAGCCAAACCTTAATAAAAAAAAAATGACTGCACACACCTTAAGACATGCAACTGGGTGGGCACACATGCAGGCACATAAACTGTGAGTTTGTGTGAAACGCATTATTTTTCATGAGAGAGACAATTTAGGAGCACAGGGCTCGACTGTCCCAAGCCCTTGGTTAATAGCTACAATGGCATTGTGTGCTATTGACTGCAATATGACAGAGCATGGTGAAGTGATTACAGAGCAATAGAAAAAAAACAGCTGGTTAGCCAGAGAAATGAAAAGGTCCAGCAGCTACAAGCCTCTATGATTATAGAGCATCCCTGATGCTGTGGCCAAGCACAGAATAAAAGCTCTGATCTAAAACCAGCTGAAGACACTAAAACAGATGTAGTGAAAACACACAGAAACTGTGAAAAGTCATGCAAACTAGTTTTTGCAACACCACCACAGCACACTGACAGCACGTGTGCACATAGGTACCCTCACATTTACTCTTTGTGCTGATTTTTCCTTTACTCCCTCACATATGTATTTATATACACAGTCAAATTACTGCCAGATTTCTTAGATTTCGTTGTTGGGTTTTATTTTAAGATCACAGTTTTTCTCTCCAGGCATGACATAATTAGCAGATGTTAGTAGTAGATGATTCATTCAGTGGCCCATCCCTATAGCTGGTGTGCTGCAGATCTCCTATTCTCATAAAGAATCTCGTAAAAGAAAAATTACAGCTTTTTATTCATGGTTTTCCTAATCCATATGGAAATGCCCTATAAAGACATAATATAATGTATATACTGTAAATAGGTGTCTTATGACGGGCTCATTAACTAACACTTATTACAGGGAGTAAATTAAATTAAAAAGCAACATTTTTTCTCTTGTTTTTCTTGTTTGTTTGACTGTTTACACACAGGCTAACTGGAATGAATATTCCAGCACCCATCATTAGCAACAAAAACTGGTTACGACTGCATTTTGTGACGGAGAGCAACCACCGCCACAAAGGCTTCAGGGCTCAGTATCAAGGTAAGACATGATTGCTTCATTTGCACATCGTAATAGAGGGCCCCCTACATGAACAAAAGGGTTCATCGTAGGAAAAACACACTGTAATTACAAAACATGTTTTTGATCTTTGTTAACTGAATATCAAACACTTTGATTAATATTCTCTGTAGAGGGCATGAAGGCTTTTTCTGCTTTAAATCAATGACTTCAAAGCGCCTTGTTAATCAAATATTTGAGAGATAAATACTGTATATATATATTCTCACCCTCGCAATACTACAGCTCAATAGTCTCGTACACTCTCATTGTTTTATAGCCTGACTTTAAGTCAGTGTATGTGCTGCATGGACTATTTGCTGCATATACTTAACCTCGAAGTGTAGCCTTAAAACAGCTTTGAAATCTGCTTGTTCACTATAAAGCTCTATACAAACATTGAATAACATGCATGTGGCAAATCGTTGTAAATGTAAGACAAGCATTCATTCAGGTGCATGAAAAGTCACCTTTGTCCTCTCCTTTTAATTACTATGTAGTGGTCAAGCAGTTTTTATGAGTTTTCATATGAACATAGATATTTTTAAACAGACAAGCACTTAGAGGTTTTATTGAGCAGTGTGCTTAAAAGCATGTATTAGTTCTCATCGAATCAGCAAATAGATTCCCCTCCTTTCTTTTGTACTTGTGTGGAAAGAACCAGCTGACCTAGAGTGCAATTCAGAGGAGAGGCATTGCTCCAGTACTTTCAAATTCAAATAGCCTTGTTTTTGCTTGGTTTTTGCTTGATACACCATTTTACCGCTCATGGCTGTTCTGTTAATGATGACAGCCACTTGCATCACCTGGCTTTTGTTTGCAATCTGGCCCCTGCTGTGTTTAATTAGACTTTCTTTAGATAAGTAGCATTGCAGTCCTGGGGCGGCTTTTTGATTCTGCATGGTGTGTGTGTGTGTCCCCACTACAAGCTATAACCATTAAATCCGCTCTGACCAATCAATTTCCATCCACCGTTTAAAATGTGTGAGTTATATCAACAGGCAAACATAATAAACAAATAAATATATAATCTAGGTTTGATTGAATTGCCAGGGCAACCCTTTAGATTGCACCATACCCTTCGGACTAATGCCTTTTGATAAGATGATGCTGAGCAAAAGCAATTACAGTTTGATGTTCTTCATAGGACCAAGTATTATCCAGAGAAAGAAACACTTGTACTGTATCTTCTCACATCTAATACTGTAACTTCTTTTATCTAATGAACTCTTTCTATTGCTCTCGACCAGTGAAAAGCTCTGGAGAGCTTAAATCCAGAGGGGTAAAATTATTACCAGGAAAGGACAACACTAACAAACTGTCTTTGAGTAAGTCTTTTATTTTTCTTATGCAACTGTTTTCATTGTTTGGATTTTTTGTTTATGGAGGGCTTGTGTTCTGGGTCTTTGTTTTCTTTTTGTCGCTTCCCCCCCCCTTTTTTTGCTGCCTCATTCGATGAAGGAATTAAGCTACAGTACTAGATTTTGCAGAAGTGCAGTCTCTTTTTCTTTCTGATGACCTATTTCCCCTGCTGCCCAGGACTTCCTCCCCTGCCAGAAACTTACTGAGCTAGATCAGCCCTAGTTAGGTATATTGCAGCAAACCACTAAACATGATCAGCTTCTGTCAGACAAAACTCCATCTGTCTCATTCTATTCTATGTAAGCTACACATTACACAGACTTAAGCCCATGCACTATGTGATCTACACATATAGCGGTAGTCAAGGTTGAGTGACCACTCACTTGTCAGATGATTTGTGTACACTTAGAGCGAAGTAAATGCATTCTAATTGCTCGCGGAGCTCTGTCATTAACATAAATCTGGAGTAGAATTCCCTCTAACTCAACAGTGTGCTAAACACTCAGATGATAACAGGTTGTAATCTTTATTGCCTTATGTGTCATAGATTCTGCACTGCATGGAGACATGAATAATGCAGTGAGCTCAAGTCTTTTCTATGAGACAATACTGTATATCATTTCAGAGACTGCGAGGAGAATGCTCCGTACTGTATGCCTTGTGGATTTACTCCGTATAATTGAACTCATAACGACATTATAACCTGTGGCGATTAAGTTCAAAAACGAATGAACTTCCTCAAAGCAAGCAACATGCCATTAGAGCGCCGCACGCTAAAACTGAAGGGTCTCTGTGTGTGTTTGGGGTGATGTCTTGTTGCAAACATTGCAGCAGACCTCAGTGATAATTATGCAGCTACATATTTCATGAGTTTAATTTCCAGTGCATGCAGACATTGATGTACGGATCATAATGTAAGGGGAACGTGAGCTTGTTAAGTCAGAACACACAAGCTGTTTTCCTGCCTCTAAATCGCCTCTCTGCATTCTTTCCATGGTAAAGGCAGTATTCAATATAAGCCATATCTCCAAGGCTTTATCTAGTCTACGCAAATTATTATTATGTATGGAGAGTCTGACTGAGTGATTATTGTTGCTCCTGCAAGTGATAGTTGAAGGTTATTTAATCCTCTTAGTGCCTGTTGGATCCAGATAGATTTTCCTCTATTTTGTTTAGCTCAGGTAAGAGTGCTGCGTTTACCCTTGCCACTCACTGTAATATCACAAAACACAACAGCACTGAAAAAAAAGCTGTTAGTTAAAAGTCTCTGACATTTCGAGATGAGGTCAAACCGTCATGTGTCAGAACTTTATGATTCGTGAAAGCAAAAACTGTTGAACATGCAGGGTTATCGGCTATTCAGGTGCTTGCTGTTGCAGTGGTTGTTGTCTGAATACACTGGGCTTTAGCAATTCAAGTGTCTCTCTCACAGTGTTCTTGGTCCCTGTCTTCTCTGCTTAGTGAATGAAGGAGGAATCAAACAGGTGTCTAATTACTGCCCTGACCCAGGGGAGCCGGAAAACGGCAAACGGATAGGCTCCGATTTCAGGTGAGTTGTTGTTTTGCAGCTTGAGTGAAGGATACGTAGCGTATGTGCAGATGTGTGCTGAGGGATATTGAAATGAGTGCTCCGCTTTCAGTATTATAACTTGCGCCACATGACTGTATGTCATGAGTTTTTACTGTCACAATCTATTAAGTCAGCAACAGGTGTGCACATAAACTAGTGTTAACCAGTTTATTCTCCACCTGCTGCAGATTTCAAACATTCTTTGCTTTATTTACTGTCATTTTAGTAGATTCTCAGTCTGTTGGCTATAATCTTCTTGTTAATATTGTGCAATTTAATTAGTCTCAGTGCCCATTTAGCAAGCATAGGAAAAAGATAACAGGGAAAATAATATGATCAACTTTCAGTCTCTTTGTTCTGTTATGTGGCATGGTTTGATTTTTTTTTTCAGTCTTATCCTGTTATGTGTACATAGGGAAGCCCAGTGTAGTCACCTGTGACAGTACAAGTCCATTGTCATTGTCTCGCATTACTGCATCATATACTCGTTTCTTTGTAAATGAATGACCTGAAACAAATAATGAATTTGATATTTCATCAGGAGTCATTTTTGAGGAATTGATTGCTTTTTTCGGGCGTTAATGGTGTTTGCTATCTTCTCAGCATCGGAGCAACTGCTCAATTTACCTGCGATGAAGACCATGTGCTGCAGGGTTCCAAAACGATTACCTGCCAGCGCGTTGCCGAAGTTTTCGCTGCTTGGAGCGACCACAGACCCGTCTGCAAGGGTGAGCGGGGCTTCCGATGAGCTAATAAAACTGTTTGATTAAGGCGGTGCCTCTGGATATATGCTCCATGCAGATAGAGGAAAGTTCATTGCTGTTAATTATGTATGAAAGCCTCTTCTGCTACACTCTGCTTTTCCATTCCAAAATGCCCTCACTGTTTTTCTGTGTTTCATAATACCTGGAGCACCTTTTAGAATTTGATTAATGGAAATGTGACTAATAGACCTCCTCTCTACTTGTGCAAACAATATATTACCTTTCAGTCACATTACAATGCACAAGTTATTACTCTGCCTTCTGAGCGCCACTTTCATCAATATTTATTGTGAAGTTGAAATTAATTTTTATGGGTCATTTAGTGATGTTTATGCTGTGTGTCCAGCACAGATCTTTATATCTTTTCTATATACACAGACAAGTATAAAATGATAAATATGTAAAAATGCCGTTTGGCCTGAATTTTTGGTCACTGAAAGTACAATGAAAATGTTTGGGTTGACCTTTTTGCCTTTAAAGCTCCACCAATTCTCCAAGGTACACTTACTGAGAGATTTTAAATCAGCCTTCCAGATTGGAGAACGTTATGAACTAGAAAAGTTTGAGCTGTCTCAGTTAAGATCGGGGCTCAGTGGGGATCACACACTGTGCTGGAGGACTCCTTTTTCTTCATGATTCTCACGATGGTTCTGTATTGCTCGTGTACGTTGGGTGTTATTATGTCACGTCATACTGCAGAACGCACTTCAGACAAGTCAGTGATAATAGCAAAACATTTAAAGTGCCAAAAAAGTTACACAGGCTGTATATCTTCTCTGCTTTGATATTCCTCTTATACTGTTGCAGTGAAAACCTGCGGGTCGAATCTACAGGGACCGTCGGGGACGTTTACATCCCCTAACTTTCCTATCCAATATGAGAGTAACTCGCAGTGTGTGTGGATCATCACTGCCAGTGATCCGAACAAGGTAGGAGAACTTGTACACTGTCCATTAAACATCCACCACTACTGTTACAATGGTAACCGTAGCAGTCGATGTTTGAGGTGAGGATTCAGTAGTGACAAGCCTTGTTATCTTGGCTTTTTTCCGCATTTTTCTGTGTTAATAAAATAGCGGTAAATTCTGATACAGTAAATCACAAAAACTATGCATTTTCACCTTTCTCTGCTCACCGCCGCATTGGAACAAAGCAGTTACTTCCAAAATATAAATGCAATAGACAAAAGGTCAAGATTAGAAGCCCAGTGAGGCTCATGATTGCAATAATAAGAGTAAAGGTTTTGTGTAGTGCCAACCTGCAATTCCATTAAGGTAATAAATAGTAGACCAACACTTGTAAAATTTACCTCTGAGTAATCTCTTTGCACTGCACCTCCCTCATTAGTTTTATTTAAAAAAAACCACATTATTTTGTTGCTCCTGAGCACCATTACATTTGTACTGTGAAAATAGTTCCTTCCCTGTAGAGCATTTGTCGACGTATTTCCTTGGAATTTTTGGATCTGTGTTTTATATGCATCTGTTTTTTTCCAGGGTTATCCAAGTTAGGAGGGGCTACATAGAATATGCATATATTTCCATTTTTACTTTCTGTCATTAATGCACATTGCAGGAGTGGATGGCATTTCGGTTCTCACTAGATTACCAGCTTGACTGTGGCTGTTGGCAGCCTAGCGATTTGCTTCATTCATCTGTGGTCACGGAAATGGGGAGAAATAATGATTGATTGAGACCAGCTTTTCCCCAAAGTGAAGAGGTCAAAGCTGTTTTCCAAATGGTCATTACTGCTCTCCTACATAAATTTGTCTTTCTATTGGTATTCTATCCAGTGAGCCATATACACAGGGGTGTCGACTAAGTACTTTCCTGCTAATAAATAATAACTAACCAACTGACGCTCATTCAGAACTCACTAGGACTGGCAAGTGCCATAGCTTTGTGCCACTGTGCACTCTCCTAGGCAAACAAGCCATTGACTTGGCACTGAAACTTGGTCCATTAGTGTTATTATGGTAATTATGCTTATTTGCGTGTCGTAATGAGGCTGTTATACATACATATTGTGCAGACGCTGCCCAACCCATGGCCAAAAGAACGAAGGCTATGGATGAGCAAGCGGCCATCATATGGTTGTCATCAACAGATGTGACACTGGTGTCATTACGGCATCCTTCCTTTCATCACTAATCCGTGCAGGCAAAGTGCAGGCTGAGATAATGTGGCATGTTTGTGTAATGCCTCTGCAGCAGACATGATTATTAGTGTAAGCAGCTGTTGCCAGTTTGATCTTTAAAAATGTCATCTTTTGTGACTCTATGTACATTTGTTAAGGGGGTAAAAAGATTCACCAGTGACAGCCGACAAAGATATCTCAAGGGTAAATGCAGACAGGCAATTAATAATTTCATATGCTTAAGTTTGCTTTACTCTGATTGGTTCTTAAAATTCGATTTGTGTTCTGAAGTGATGCTGCTGTCAGTTTCTATATTGCTCTGAAGGATGCTTGCGGTGTTCTTTGTCTATGCTGCACATCCCCATTAACATTCACTCTACAAGCCTTTTCCTATAAAAAGTCAAAAATCCGATATGACTTGTGTTTTATATTTTCCCTCTATTCCCCCGAACGCCACTGTTGATTTAAGTTTTCTGGTAGTTTATGGATATTTGATTAAAGTACCAGAATATATTGTATGTTATAGCAGCTATGTGAATTATGAAAATAGAAGGAAGCATCTTCGGCTTTTATAGCTCTGCTTGATCAAACATTGAGCTGTCCTCCTGTGCAAATGTATATGACATTACATGGAGTTTCTCTGTGTAGGCCTGCCTTTTGCAGTTTAGCTACAATATCTTCAGCAACATTTTCCCAAAAGGCAAGTTATGGAAATGAGCAGCTATGTTATGAATATCATAAAAATTAGATGGTGGCTTATTTGGTAATAAATCTTTAGAATAACTGCTCATCTGATTGAGAGGGTTTGGCCTATTTAAATGAACGCAATGAATAACATTGACTGGCGGGGTTAGCAATGTCTGTCAGGAGACCTCTCTGTTTGAATCCCTTTAGTGTAAACAGCTTCCACAGGCAAATGGCGACTTTCAGCTTCATGGTTTTGTTGAAATGTATTGAAAAAAAAAAACAACCTGCTGACAGAAAATTGACTTCTCAGCAAATGTACATAAACTATCTGCAATATACCACGCTGGCTTACTTTATATATATCATTCAGTAGAGTGTTCTCAAATGTTATTGAATGGTGTAAGGAGGGCTTTGCTGTTTGCAAATTCACGGCCAATCATAGACTGTCATAGTGACTTTGTATTTTACAACAGGTCATTCAGATCAACTTTGAAGAATTCGACCTAGAAATTGGGTATGACTCCCTAACTATTGGAGATGGAGGGGAAGTAGGTGACTCTAAAACGATCATTCAAGTGTAAGTATTTCATAAACTACTTCATTGGATAGATTATTTTAGCATAATATTGCAGTCAAATCTTTCCAAATCTTTTTGTGAGTCGACATTAAAAGAAATACTTGAACAAAAGAATCCTTGAACCGGTTAAATGACTCCACCACTTCAAGTGTGGCTTACTTGTTCAAGTTACTTGTGTTTTTTATCTGCGTATAACAATGTTTGTCCTCTAATCTGCTTAACGTGTAATGAAATCTCTCAATAGTGAATTTTGATCCCACACTGGCTTGTTTGTCTTATCTGCAGGCTCACTGGGAGCTTTGTCCCAGACCTAATTGTCAGCATGTCCCATCAGATGTGGCTTCACCTCCAGTCTGATGAGAGTGTTGGCTCAATTGGATTCAAGATCAACTACAAAGGTACACACACTATTGTGCTGATGCCATCTCTCACTGTCTGTATTCATGTCTGTCTCTGACTGTCTCTCACTAAAGCAGCAATTTTATTTTCCTGTCTGCCTTCCTGCCGATCTGTCACTCTTTTATCTTTCTACTTCTTAAAAAAACTTTCTTAACCCAACTTCCACACTCTTCAACTGCACCTATACAGATAATCTTAAAGAAAAAAAAAACTATCTCAGACTACTTTCCTTGACGAAATCCTCTGCTCTCCCCCTCCCATTTTCACTCTCTTTCTCACTTACTTCATCTGTCCGTCCCCCTCTTTTCTCTTCTCCACAGAAATTGACAAAGAGAGTTGTGGCGACCCCGGTACACCTCTGTATGGCTATCAAGAGGGAACTGGTTTTTTAAATGGAGATGTTTTACGCTTTGAATGCCAATTTGGATTTGAGCTCATTGGGGAAAGGATGATAACCTGCCAGAACAACAATCAGTGGTCAGCTAATATCCCCATCTGCATATGTGAGTCCCATACTTGTTTTTAATGACAGCGGATAAGCAATTACTTACGTGCTTGGAAGGTTCACAATGACACTGAGCTATTTGAGAAATAATTACAGAGTTGTTAACTGAACATGCAGAGCTGTGCACACAGCACATTGTGTGAAATGGGAAGTTTTTGTTCAAGCTTGCTTTTTTGGGTGGTTGTTGTTGTTGTTGTTGTACTATTTATCTGAACTGGAGAAGGTAACATGCACTCTACTGTTTATCATCCTATGTCAAGGCATCCCTCTCCTTGTAGTTACAACATTCCTAACCTATCTCCATAACAAAAAACTAGACTTGTGTTCCTTCGATTTAACTGCCTCCTTTGGGACAGTGTGCAGTATTCCTATGCACCTATATTCATATATGTCTGTACTTTTGTACAGTTCTCTGTTCCGTCCTGCTTACAGTTTCATGTTTCTCAAGCTACTCAGCGCCCTTGGGAGTAAACCTGTCTCCAGTTTGCTGAGCTACTTATACAGTACTGACATTGTTCTGTAGAGATCTTTGTGCCTGGTCCTGTTATGGGAGATTCTGCAGTGTAGACATGTCGTGTGGCCAGTGAGAGTTGCTGTAAAACAAATTGCTTACTCGGGATATATAACTGATGTTTTTGCTCTCTCTGTTACACAGTTCCCTGTTTCTCTAACTTCACTGCGCCCATGGGGACGGTGTTGTCTCCAGACTATCCAGAAGGCTACGGGAACAACCTTAACTGTGTTTGGCTGATTATCTCTGAGCCTGGCTCCAGGATCCATTTGGCCTTCAATGACTTTGATTTGGAGCCTCCTTACGACTTTCTTACTATCAAAGATGGGGATCAGTCAGGAGCCACAATACTGGGACGCTTCTCGGGGGCTGAAGTTCCTTCCCATCTGACATCCAATAGCAACGTTTTGCAGCTCGAGTTTCAGGCCGATCACTCGATGTCTGGGCGAGGGTTCAACATTACCTATAGCAGTAAGTGGCTGATCAATGGGTAAATGAAACTAAAAGAAAGAGAAATGCATTCACCCTCTACCTTTCATGGTTAGGGATTTTTTTGGTGGTGTCTCAGGTCTGTCTGACCTGTTAAATTTGTACAATTTTTAGACGCAGTTAACCAAACAAAAAATAATTACTAAGCGTACTGTGCAAATTAATTGTATTAATAGAAGAGGAATGAAGTTTAGCAGAACCTGTAGTTTATGTGAATGAGCGTGTTCTCAGTCACAGAGCTTTATTATCGTCCTTGTTGCTCTTTTAGAAATTATGTTTTTTCCTGATAATAATGGTTATAATTTCTTGGCAGGCATCTTTTATAACACACAAGGACACATTACAATTCATTGAAGCAATGGACAACAAATATTTAAAAAAAAAAGGTTAATAAAACCACTGGCAGATTACAGCTGAGTTTTAATAAGTGTAACCCTAGCACAGCTTTTCCAGTCAAGATTTGAGCAGAAAAGCTGCAGCATAAGTTAGGTTAATAGTACCTTTATAAACAAAAAGCGCCATTTAGTACTGTGGAGGTAGTGCTTAACTCAGATGCCTTATTGCCTATGCAGTGCCGTTGTAATTCTTTTGCTTTTCCTCCGGTGCAATTCTCAACAAGCTTTAAAGACAGAGGCTATTGTCAACCCTACGTGTATAGAGCAGACCTTTGTATGTTCTTTTTTCCTCTCTTACGGACAGCTACATCCATTTCCCTTATCTCTCTACTACTCAAAGACCCAATTTCTCATTCACACAAGAGCATTTGTCACTAGATCTTGTTCCCTTTCTTCTCATTACAAGCTTTTGGGCATAATGAGTGCCCTGACCCTGGCATACCGTTGAACGCTAGGCGCTTTGGGGACAGTTTCCAGCTGGGGAGCTCCATCTCTGTTGTTTGTGAGGATGGCTTTATCAAGACACAGGGAGCTGACACCATCACATGCCATCTGGAAGAAGGCAAGGTGATGTGGAGTGGACTCATTCCCAAATGTGAAGGTAATTAAATTGTAATTGCTAACAATTATGTGAATGAGTATAAGTTAACTGCTGAACTGGGATGAGAAAGAAAGAACAGAAACATGATAAAAAAAAA